CCATGCTTTGTAGAAAGCTTGAAGGCGAGGCTCGCCGTCTTCGTTAATCCGGTTTGCTTCGTAGATGTGGGTGGCTCGCTCCGACAAACCCGGGTGTCTCGCCATAAACCCCTCAAGCCAGCTGTCCCCAGGGCCCTTGTCTGGGTCCCAGGGCACCTTGCGCCCGTCGGTGCAGATGTTGCGCACAGCGTCTCTCAGCTCCCTCCGACCCAACAGCAAGAAGTGTCGGGAGGCGTAGATCAAGACGTCTTCTACGAAATCTTCCTCCTCCTTGCTCAGGACAGTCCCGGGACCAACCCTCGCATCTATGGCCACCTTGTTCTTCACACGGTCGTGCAGCGAGGCTAGCGGTAACCCGTAGGTCCTCGCAGCAACGCGGAGCGACATCTCACCGCTGCGTACCGCATCTACAGCCTTCTGGGCCTGCTCTGGGTCTACTCTCTTACGTCCCATGCTTAGCAGCAGGACCCCGAAAAGGGCAAAGATGCCCCACATAAGGGGTGTGGGTGAGGGCTGTGCTGTATCTCGGGAGTGCTTGACCCGATCGACACGCGGAGGTGCTCAAACGAAAGCTAACGGAAAGCTGAAGATTTCAAAAAAAAAATTGGGGGGCTCCGCGCATTGTGCGCCGAGGGACGTGCATTTGAAAAAAGTGTTCGTTAAAGGGGGGGTGTTCGTTAATACCCTGGTTTACTCTAGTCTATGCATCCGGCGGTACTGCTGCAGTTGTGCCGTAGATTTCCAGCAGCAAGCATTAGAACAGCGCAAGTACTCCGTAGGTCCGACCCATCATGCATGCACTCACTGCTGTACGTTAAGTCTAGAGACATGACTCGCCAACCACTACTGCTGCAGGTGCTCCTCGTATGTGCCCTTTCTCGCTGCGACATCGCTCTCCGTCTGATTCTGTTGTTCTCTCTTGGAATCTTGACAAATTGGCGGCACGCATGCACAGATTATTCTACTCACCGCGAAAAACGGCAAGCATTTGATCTCCTCGTGCTGCGCCAGTTGCTGCCAGGTGTTGCATACCTCCGTTGACAGGGGTCGACAGGGATCCATCGGGATCGTTTGCTGTAGTGCTTCTTGATCCAGGCTACACTGTAGCCCTCCTCTAGATGGCGTGCTCCGCACTCTGGCGCTGGGGGTCTCTGTTGTGTGTGTGTCACGTGTGAAATCATGACATCACCGCAGGGCGAAGAAAAAAGGCGCGCTCATTTTGCTACCGTACCGTGATGTAAGAAAACACCCCCCTACTTTTCTTCAATGCTCGACAACATATGCACAGCAGTACTCCACGAAGAAGAGGGCATCAAATACTCCGTGGTGCTGATCCAGAACGTCCTACTATAATTGAGGCGGCTTTAGCGTGGTCTTCTTCGGCACCACCACTCTTCTTGCTGGCGGAGAGTAATCGAGGAGCTTACATATATGTCCAGGGGGTGTGATATCTTATGTGCCAGTCTCCGCCCACTCCCCATTGCTGCACTCAAGGATATACGGTTGTACTCTCATCTCAAGTTCAGAACAATCTCGGAATAGAGGTTCGATTCGTTTTTTGTCCGCTCGTCAGGAGGAAACACAAACACACACACACCGCACCGCCTGCAAACACACACAAAACAAAAATGCGCGAGAGCGAGCGCGTGTGGGGAGCCCAGGGAGTCTCCTGTTGCGAAGACCTCTGCAGCATCAGGGACGGAGAGCAATAAAAATTATTATTGCTGTTGCGACGACGGGCGGGGTACGAGAAGTGGAAGCAAAGGTATGCAGCCATCATCAGCCGGTCTGGAGACGATCATATTTCCCAGGGATTGGTTTCAGCGGTCACGTTGTTTTGATCAACGACAGAGAGTCGCTCGGGGCAAAATTGACGAGGAGGGATAGGGGGGCGACGAGAAGAAGAGCACTTGTAACCCGTCCCAGCCCGCCTTCTCATTATTTGCATCGGTCGTGGCGTAGATAGGCTGGTTTACCGAGGCTGAGTGCTTTTTTGAAGAGCGAGGGTGTCGTTTCGTCACCCGCTCGTGCTGGCTCTCTCTCTCTGCCCGGGCCGCAGATGAGGGGGATCGCGCACCAAGCACGGCTTGACCCTGTCACCTGTGGGTCTTTTTGTCCCGAGCCTTAGTCTAGCTTAGTAAGTCAGATTCCCCACACGACGGCAAGAGCGCCGCCTTTCAGGTGTGGGAGGAAAGGTGGTGCTTGTTTCTCCATTAGGATACATCCCGCCCACAACGGAGACGGAGATGTGGGGGGTTGAGGGGGGGCGGGAGCAAGGTGCATTGTTGACGGCGACACACACAGCTCGTCTGCACATATGACAGCGCGACGCAAGAGAGTACATAGTCTAAGCAAGGGGCCTCTTGTTGTACCAGAAACTGCTAGTGCCCCCAACGCGAGACAAATAACAGAGTACAACAACATTACATGGACGGGCTATACCGCAATATATCGATGTTTTGGGTGTACATGCGCGACGACATCACTTCCCCTCCGGTCCAGCCTACAAGAGACCGTGTTTATGCATGACGGTACCCTGTGGCTGCATTTCCTCTGTTCCAGCCGGGTATCGTTCACCGTGGGTCTTCGGTCTTAGGAAGCTGCACCCTTGCGTGGTACCTTGGGGTCACTGTGTGGGTGTAAATAATAGGCCGAGGATAAAACAGGGTGGGGCGGCGCACGGCCCTTTGTTCCCCACATTCGCGTGGAATATGGTGTCATACAACTTTTGGGCACTAGTGGCGCAACAACAAAAAAAGTGGTGCAGATGAACCGATTCTAAACTTGATGTGGAGACGGAGCAGTCTGGGAAGGGGTTTTGAGGACAGTCGGGAGTGGACTATCACCTAGGTTTCCCCCTCTCACGCAACGCCGACATAGTCGAGATCATTTGACAAGTGGAACCATGAGGCCTGGTAACCGTTCTCTCTCGTAGCGGTGTAGTGCGAGTAGATGGTCCCGGTAGAGGGCAATCGACCTCCGGTGCACGCTTAATAAGTATTTGAACCTCAACCTGCAACCACCCGAACGAAGGAAAGTGGGCGTCATCGCAGGGCCGACCAACCGCAGGGAAACTGCAAGCACGAAAGAAAGGGATGATCAAATTCATGACAATTGCGTCCCAACAACTCAATAACAAAACTAACAAAATGGTTCCATGTGACTACACACAAGCAACCATTCCCAATGCACTGCATGTTGTCTGTTTTCGCCCGCGGCCTTGGCAACCTTGATGCGGGAGTGTGATGAAGTGCCGTCCCCGTGCGCTTTGCGTCAGAAACCCTTGTTCTGTTTTTCGAACTACTGTAAATAACCGTTAAGTCTGGGGGTGCCCGATGATGAGGCTTTCGCCCCCACTCTTTTGTCGCTTCGTTCGATTGTCCTTGAAACCGGCCATCCATGCTCCCGAACGCCCAAATCGCGGGGCACCGCCGTCTCCCCCACCATTGGTTGCCCCAGGTGTGCTTGTTGCGTGGACACGATAGGAGATTCATATGCTGCAGCCATGAACCCTGTGGGTTACGCGCCTCTTCGCGGGTAAGAAAGACGATTCCATGTCTTCTACGATTATTGAGTGGTAAGCTGATCCCGATCTACCACTTTCCATATTCAAAACGAAGCTTGTCTTCGATCATCCCTCGGTAGTTTCGTGTCGAAACGGTAGGCGCGCAAGTAGTGACATCACATGTATATATCCCACCAACCACCAGAACACCCGCGTGCAAGCAGTCGCATTTGCATGTGCACGTCTCACCACCAGCGGCCGGGGTCATGAGCACGGATCCCGAGCACGCTCGCGAAGCAAACATACTGCCGCTGTTAATGAACGTTTACCGTCGGTGCGTGTTTCAGCGTAGTCTCTACGTAAAATATGACATGGGTGCCCTGGCGTATATTCATACGTATAGTTCCAACCTGCCCTCCGCCATGCCCCCATTATTGTTCTGTGTCATGGCAGTCTTCCCCTAGGGGCCATGTTTTCGCTGGTGGTTGTCTTGGCGGGGTCGGTTGCTTCTGCCGCCACAGTCGGCAGCATTTCGGCGCGGACTACTAGCGGCAACGCCGGTCTCCGCTCAGGTAGGCTCCACAACGAGCAGACGCTCGTTGGATTGTCATCGTATTTTGGCTCGGGGGGGAGCCCTGTCCCTTGCTGCTGCCTTTGCCCGAGGTGGAAGCCTTTGTTCAGTCGTTGACCAACCGGGAGATGAAAGCTCCCGACTATGTAACCGACTAAATAGGTATTCCTTCATGTCGTGTTCGTCTCGAGGCTTAGCACCTCATCGTGACGAAAGAAAGTCGCCCACCCACGCTAGATATGTTGTGTTGTTGAGCGTTGTCTATCCCACGAGGCATAGCTCTCGCGGCCGTCCGTCCCTTGGTCGACGAACGGGCGTCATTTTCCGATATTTCCGACCTCACGTGCAGTGGCATCACAGGTGGAGTTCCATCTCCCCTTTCCGAATATGTCGGATGCCCGCGCCCGCTTGTGGAGACCTTGCCAAGGTCGACCTCCTTGGAAATCACAACCAAGGCCACGAAAGGGGGAAACGACATGTTTTCGAGGCCTTGGTTGTACTTCCCCAAGGTGTCCGACCTTGACAAGGTCTCCACAAGGGGGTGCGGGCATCCGACATTTTGGGGAAGGGGAGTCGACCTTCACCTGTGCAGGCAGGCATTAGTGCCGGCTGGTTGTGAACGCTGACACGCAGTACAATTCGGCAAACCGGAAACACAAGCGCTCTGGCCAGTGTCCGCAACAACACGCCTCGCGTGATACGCCCCTCTCAAAGAGCCGCGCTCCGATGACCACATGTCAAGTGCTTGAAAAAACCGTTGAGTGAGATGATGCTCATGTAGCATGATGAACGCGGGTGTGATGATGATGACGTCACCAGGCAAGGCATGCGATCCCGGGGACGCTGACTGCTTCGGAGACGAAAGAGACGACTCCAGCTTCCTCGGCTTCGCATGCATCTGTTGCATGTTCTTGCTGTTTGTGGTGAGAAGAAAGAGTGTGGCGTCCTCTGCGACCCAGATTTTTTACATGTGGAGCTTGTCCAAGTGTAGTATTGTCGGAAAGTTGTTTTCTGTGTCTTGTGGCCTTGTTGCCACGTTCACACAGGCAGGGCCCCGTCGCGTCTCTTTGCTCGCGTGAGGCTTCTGTTCGATTTTTCGAATGGTGTAACGGCCAAATCGTTCAACACTTGTTTTCGCGCCGGCCCAAGGTACGTAAGTCCAGGGATGTTCACGGTGCGTTTTTTTTCAGCTGGGAATGTCACGATGCGGTGCGGTTCCTTCCCATTTCGAGACAACAAAAACGCACGGCACCACACCGTACCGTGACGTGAGATACAATACAAAAAATGGCACTGCGAACAGTGCGGTTCTATATGGTGTGGTGAACACCCCTGAAAAATTTAATCTCCCTCCCCCCTTTCCCTCGTGCCCGGTCTTGCTTCTCGTCGGCTCACGCGACAGGTGTTTCGCACCTTGCGGGTTGCTACGATGTGGGTGAGAGGAACTGCAATGCTCGTCCGCCTATGGGCTAGGGAGAGGGGACTTATGGTTCGGCCAGGACGTCTGTTTCACGGGTTGATCATTTTGCCAAACTTTCAAGACCATACTTTTTAACTAGGCGGGAGTCCAACCGTTCTACAAGTGATCCCCGCATCGAGGCAGACGACACAGGTTTCGAACTATAATTTTGTCAGGGAAAAAAAGGCACGCGAATCGTATTTATTTCAATTCTTTTTTGGACCAGCCTTGATTGGCAGACTGGGAGACGATGTGGGATTTTGAAAAAATGTGGAATATCTTACTCAGGATTGATTTTTTGTTTTAATGGGTAAACCTCGAGTCTCGGAACAATGCATACGAGGGGGAGTCGCGTGCCGCCCTCCTTCGGAAAATCGTGCTGGTGGTGGTTATCGTAGGAAAACGAGAAACAAGAATCCTATCAGATTCGGTTCGTGGGCCATGTCTTTTTCGTCGATGGTCGTCGAAAATTGTTAG